CTTTAAATTCTGTTCTGGGAGAGACTGCCCTGCAAGGTTAACAGGACTGTCTGAGTTTTTCTGACCCAGACAACTCCATATCATTACAACTGACGCTTTGAGACGACTACAGCAGTATGAAATCTGTTTCTGAAGCCTCTTGGGGCAACTTATTTGCCCCAAGACTTCATAACTGTGTGTGTTCATACAGCTCTGTGTGCCCCCAGAGGTAATGTTTTTTTCTATTCTTTTGCACTACGATAAACATCTGGGCCATACAATACATTTGGGTTTTTTTTTTAAGTCCTGTGGCACTTCTGGTCCAAGGACGAGCAGGGCTGTAGAAGACAGCTCAGAAAAGTAGGTCTGAGGCTGCAAATATGCTGCTTGTGGTTGGATGTGATCCTCGAGGAAGATGAGAGGTTTTACAGCTTGGATGTTGCTTTAGCATATTGTGTGGGTAAGCAAGTAATCTGGAAAGAGAGTCCTAACTGCATCTGCCATGGAAGCTGTCAGTTTGTAGCTGATGAAAAGAATCCTGCATGTCCTATATGCAGGGACAGTACCAGAGGATGAACTGTTAGGGGACGTCTTTTGCCACGAACAGCTGAGGAGGCTTTTGTGTTATCCCAGATATTGCCTGCCAAGGCAAATCCAATAATTGGAGACCATGGTAGATTTCAGGTCAGGAACATTTTCTATGGAGTCCTGGCAGTACCTTGAAGTATTTCTGGGTATCACTGTAGCACAGCTTGCAAAAGGAGCCTGTTTCTCCATGCAAGGGTAGCTATTGTGACTTTATTGATGCTCCCATCTTTCTCTGGCACCTTCCTCTCTCCTTCTCCTGCTCCTCTCTGGGCTGCAGGTACCCTTGCCCACTCTACCCCATCAGCTCAGAAACTACTTGCCTGCTGGTGGATATGCTCCAGTTCTCACTCTCTTTCCAATGCAAGTGGCCTATTCCTGCAACTCTGCAGGGCTCACAGCATGAATGGTGATGATAAAGGGTAGGTGACATCAGATACACCCAGTCCTTGCTGCCTCACATTAGTCTGTAGCACATATACCTGAGTGCTGGCACGTAATAGGGCTACAAGGATGATGAGGGGACTGGAACATCTCCCCTACGAGGAGAGGCTGAGGGAGCTGGGCTTGTTCAGCCTGAAGAAGAGAAGGCTGCGAGGGGACCTAATAAATGCTTATAAATATCTGAAGGGTGGGTGTCAGGAGGATGGGGCCAAGCTCTTTTCAGTGGTGCCCAGTGACAAGACAAGGGGCAATGGGCACAAACTGAGGCACAGGAAGTTCCGTCTGAACATGAGGAAGAATTTCTTCCCTCTGAGGGTGACAGAGCACTGGAACGGGCTGCCCAGGGAGGTTGTGGACTCTCCTTCTCTGGAGATATTCAAGACCCACCTGGACACAGTCCTGTGCAGCCTGCTGTAGGTGACCCTGCTTCGGCAGGGCAGTTGGACTAGATGACCCACAGAGGTCCCTTCCAACCCCTACCATTCTGTGATTCTGTGATTCTGTAACCAGGAGAGATGACATTTGGGCGAGATGACCCAGAGCAGGAAGGGTGCCTGGGCCAGGTCAGCGCAGAACAATGTGGCATGGGACAGCAGGAGGACTGCCAGCAGCCGAGTGCTCGGGAAGGCTCCTGTATGAACCTGAAAGCAAACAAGCTCGCTGCCAAGTAATGCTACTCCTGCTCCAAGGAGTATCACTTATTGCAGTTTGAATTATTAGCTCATTTGTTGTAGTAAAAGACTGTGGACGCAAGGCACTGTGAGGAGACCAAGCTAAAATTACTTCTGTGAGCAAAAAAAGGCCTGGGAGTATATTTATATCTGTGCTTTGCCATGGGACTGTTATTCAAAGCACAATATAAATCATTATGTAAAAATCAAAATACCTTCGGTTTCTCCAATATACCTGACATCAAAGCACAGGTTCAATAAGTTAACCAGAATTGCTAATACTTGATGCTCAAGTAGATCTTCTGTGGTATCTAATTTATATTGCTCTTAATGTATGGGGCATTTGCTTTGGCAAATGAACGTAGCAATGTTTGGTGCTTTCCCAGCGTACAACCAAAGTACTGACTCAGTAAATCGCTGAAACAGAATCACTGGTTTGGGGGAAAACTTCCCTTCTTTCTCCGTTTGCTGCTCCTTCGCAACTTAAACAATAAATTAAGTGGATTTTACTTTAAAACCTGGAGATTTTTTTCTGCATCATCTGACCAATTTAAAGTAGCTACATAAAACACAAATCTAAAATCCTGCATTGTAGGGTAGAGCATCTTTGTCATATTAACCAACCTTTGTATGTGTGACTGGGACTGGAGACTGTCCCCAGGCCTTGGACATCTTGAAATCTGGGACCTCTTTGGTTTTCTTTCAGGCCTGAAAACCACACACTGAGGACTGTAGCGTATACATAGAAATCTTGTCAGTTAAATATAGATTGATGAGAATCAGCAGGGAGTAAAAATACTCCACTTTTTACGGTAAACACTATAAAACATAGTAAACACTTAACTTCAGTTTTAGCAAAAACTAAGCCCTTCTATCCCCACCTAGTACCCAGATCCCTCTTTTTTAGGCATTTGGCTTTCTTTGCATCCTAAATTTTATCCCTAGTAAGCAATGTTCTCTCCCCATACTTCCCTAAGTATATATGAAATACTTCTTTCACACACTCTCCGTGAAATCCTACTCAGTGAGTTACTAACAACTTCCCAATTAATAGTGTTTTAGTGCCTCAATTTGTGTTACAGAAATCCAGTCTGATTTCTTAATCTTTGCAGAAATCGAAAGGGTTTGTATTTTGTTTTGGTTTTTTTCTTTTGGTAGGATTACACCAGATGGTGAGAAAAAGGGACAGAAAAGGACGTAAGGTAATTTTCTAGGTAGTCTAACTAGTCCATGAGTCAAGTTGGCATAAGCTTGTAATACCGTAACTCCTAACAGTATAGATCTCTTGCATCCACATAAAGTTTGGGTTCTTCATACCCATATCACCTTTGAAAATGCTGCCAGGGATTTAACAAAGACGCTTTTGGTCACTCTGGCCAAGTTAAAAGACTGTACTTGCAACCCACCCACTGAGACACAAAAATGCACTAATTCAAACTTCTGTGCAGGTGATAAGTGACTGTAGTGGCTGAACTACTTGGCAGATGACCTTAGCTAGGCTAGCAGAAAGCAAAATGAAGATAATGGAAAAGAAACAGCTATAATAACCATCTGCAACCACACACGGCCTCTGCTTCAGCACCCATAAAACTTAAAAGGATAAAAGAAAAGGAAATTGCTTTCAAAATAGCAAAGATAATTTTACAAACATTTCTTCTTATGCTTTTATAGGGTGTTGGACTTATTGGCCTGTTTCTGGTATTAGTAGTGCCGCATGTATTAGCTTTTAGTGTGAAGAGAGGTATATTCCAGGAAAGTCCTTGCTTAATTTTCCCTTCTACCCTGTGTATGCGTGCATATTACTTCAAAAGTGTATTATTTTTCTTAGGCAGCCCTATTGCAATGGTGCCTTGGCATTTCAGCCAGCCCGAGGGTGCCAGTGGTATTGTCCCGCACACCAAATCAGCTTGCATTGCCTGGGCTACATTTCATCCCGTCCCACGGCTGTGAGCAGGGATGTGTCCTAGCTCCAAGCAGCTGTGCGGCTGTACAAAGCAATGATCCCACGTGAAGGAAGTGAAGAAATCCAGCAGTGACTTCCCTGGACTAGGCTTAGGTTTTGCCCTTTTGCAACGAGCATAGCTTGGGGCTATCAATAGCTCTATAGCTACTAGAAGTCCCTCAGCCGAGGGCACAGTCTGACTGCCCTTCCCTTGGACTGCAATCGCCAAATTACACATCTGTGTCCCTCAAGGCTCATTTCCCTCCCACAGTTGTACTCAGGCTCTTTTCTTTTAACTGGACTGGATCCCAAGCCCAAATCACGGTGCAGCCCCAGCAGAGACCTGGCAGCAGCCAAGCGGTGCCACAGTGGGGAGCTGCTCAATGAACCCCAAGGGCGCTGCGACAGAGGACCTGGGCAACCTGCAGCAGTTTTAAACGTGTGGAATGAAAGCCTGCTTTGTTGCCTCCTATGTATCCTCCTAAAGAACTTAATGGAGCTAAAAGGAGAAATGCACTGGAACCTAAGAGTCATTTGTGCCTTTGAAACTCATCCTGAGTTTCGCAAACTTTTAGTCGTTTTAGAAGAGCCATGCTGAATTCAAATCCCGAATCGCACCGGGTGTAAGTTGTTTCTCTCCTAGGAAAAGTGAACAACGGTGTGTACTTCACAGCTTTCAGCTGCAGATTTCTCTCCAGCCTAGACATCAGGCTTCCATAAATTCAGAGCTCACCAATTACTGTGGCTTGATCAAGAACCTTATTAGTGATCATTAAAAATAATCTTGCTTAGAAGGGGACTGCTACGTGCAAATCCCATCTTTTCTATTTACTTTGTGTCTATTAATGTTTTTTTTAATGTTTATACATTAGTGCAAGGAATAGTGTTAGCATAATTCTAGTGTAAAATAAAACCAGCTGTATCCATTATAAGTGCATTACTGCCAGGAACTGTAAATATGTTTATGCCTGATAGCCTTTTGACTCAATAATATCCTGCTATCTCTGTTGGGCAGGCAAGTTTTTAAACCAAGAAAAGACAGGTTATGATTTTCATAACCAAACTGTGTTTCCTTCTGAAGTATGTTATCTAAATTCAAATTTCAAGAAGGTTGTTAAAAAAATCTGCCTGTGATTTTAAAGGAGAACAATTGAAATGTCATCTTCAAAGTGGTGGCAAGAAGGTACAATGTGCACTAAGAACAAGTTCTTCCTCCCAGATATACACATACGCAGACAAATCCTGCCATATCATACCATACAAACAATTTTAATTGTGTAGTTACAGTCAATAACCACTCCTAGTCAGAACATTTCTGCATAAAGAAAATTGTGATACACTTATAAAAACAGCCAGCTGTAACAAAATAACTGGTGTTTTCATAGCAATAAACTCATAAAAAAGAAATACACCTTTATACAGAAAATTTATACAGCTGTAGCTTTAAAATTGATTGTAAACCAAAGGAAGACACATTGCAAACATCAATTATTTTCACATTAATTGCATAAGTTTCTAAGGTGATCTATTAGTTTTATTTACCTAAGCTTATTTGCATGATAGTAAAAATTGCATACAACAATAAGAGTGAAGCTTATAGTATGAATTGCTTGGATAACATAGAGCACTTTTTATAGGCAACTGTGTAAAGCACATTTTCTCTATTTAAAACTTTTAAGACACTTTGTTTTACTGCCCATCAAAATACATTTATAAATAGGAAAAAAAAATCAGTATGATAACAAGAGAAGCAATATTACATTTAACGGAAACTTCCAAAAAAATTAATTACAACATGATGCTGCAGGATCTACAAATAAATAATGAGGACTAAATTGTGTTTCACATTTTCTTTTTCATTTTCTTTAAAACCATGTAACAATGAGAATGGAAAAAAAAATACAGTGACCTTTATTTCCAAAAGAAAACAAATCTGAATTACGGCAGTGCCATATAATACAAGGCATTTGTTGGCATATGTTATCTTTAAACTGCATTCCACAGTCTATAGTTCTTTTGTAACATACAATAGAACAAGAGTAACAAACTCTTTTTATTTTATTTTTTTAAATAAACGTGAGTTTCCAAAGATCAAGTGTGGAGTGCTACAGTAATAATTAAAAAACAAGAACAAAACAGAAACGAAAAACAGTAAATCACAAAAGTTGTAATGCTTGTCTGAAGGCTCCAGAATCAAAATCACCGGTATCATGCTTATTGGGTACACTCACAGTGTACCCAGTGAACACAAATTAATATCAAACAATCCTCAACGCTTCATCTGTTGCTGTGAAGCAGTTTGTAAAACAGAGTAAAACATCTAGTGCAGTCGGCATTATCCTTTTTTCAACTTTTGTGCAAGTTTTGGAAGATTCATTGGCCAAACAATGAATAATAAAGGTTTTTGACAGAACGCAAGATGGAATTTTCATTTCATTAGTAAATACCAGTGGCACTGTTGAAAGAAAATAATACTTTTAGATCAGTCTTTCAATTCAGCATTAATCTCTGTGTTCCCTTCTACTGACAACTCTTCTTCTAGTTTAACTGAAAAAAGCGTGTTTGCATTTTTGTCTTGGATGCTGTCTTCTAAATCCTTGAGCAACTCTTCCTCCTTGTACTCTGCAACATCCACCTCCAAACCAGAATTGTCCTTCAGCTTCCCATGGTGCTTGAGATAATATCGCTGGTTCTGAAAGAACTTGATAATGGTGTACTTGGGCAGGTCAAGCTGAGCAGAGAGAGTCTGGATTGCTTCTTCATCTGGATACAGGCCTACGTCTTGTATGAAGCTCTGTAGGATCCCTAGGGCTTCAACAGAAATCTTTGTTCGCGGTCGGGGTTTCTGACGATTCTCATCCTCAGATTCAGCTGGTGATGCTACCCGGCGTTTGCTGCGGCTGCTGCTGTTGTTGCTGCTGCTGCTGCAAGACAAAGCACAGCGGTTTTTTTGTATGTGTATTCTTGCTCATATTTTGTGCTACCAAGAAAATCCAGGGGGAAAATTGTAAAGCTATAAACAAAGGTTTAGGAAGTTTAAACAATAAAAAGGAAAAAAAAAACCAAACCAAAAGGGCCATTACTGGTAAACCAGAATCAAAATATGAGTTAGTAGCTCTCTGCATACCTCCTGTGTTTCCGTATGCATGTGAGCAGAGAAGATGGATAAGGGGACAGTGGGATACGGACAGAGAGGTGGAAGGAAAACACTGGCTTTGTCTGACTGAAAGCACTGACGACGTGACATCGGTGTGGTTTAGCTGACAAATTTTAATGAACATGCTCCACGAGTCAAGTGCAGACAAGACAAAACGCTAAGTGGGTGACATAGGATAGGATTAACTTGACCAGCTTAGCCAGAACTGTAGCAAGGGCAAAGTGAGGAAAGTGCCAGATGAGGGCAAACACGCAGGAGCTCTGCCAGCAGCAGCAGATGCTGCCGCCGCCAAAAAACAAGGGCTGCAAATCTCTAGCAACAGCTACAACTAAGGGACTGGGGGGATCAGGGAGAAGGAGAGCATTTTAGCTATGTGCGGAAATATCCCACCGCTGACCTGACCTTTGCGTGCACTGAAGCCTCGTCACACTTGTGAGCGTTACGACAGAACGTGTTAGCTGGAAGTGCCTAACGTCACGCTGTCAAACCCAGCCTCGGCAAGCACAAAGAGACCTGGCGGTAGGAAATCTGTATTTTCCCTTCTGGCTCTGACCTCTCCTGCCCGTGGTCTCGGAGAGGGTCTGTCTTGCTTGTGTTCAAGTATCCCAACGTATAAACAGGGAACGAACCCATTTACCCGCTTCTGTGTTTGTGCTGGGGATTATTTAGTTAATATTTATAAAGCAGTAAGATGCAAAGCTCCAAGTAAGTTGCACTATTGTTATTAGAAGGGAACATGCTGCATTCCAAAAACTCAGGCAACAAAAATGAGCCAGTGTGCACATCAGAAGAATAAGATAAAGCAAATCATGTTGTAAATAATTAACAAGAGCTTAAAATGAAGTTTTGCAAGCATGGATTCAGAAACATTATTAAAAGGTGAGGCACTGAGCCCTAGGGACAGAAATGTTTTTCTCATCCACCACCGGAGTACAGTACATTGTAAGATCATGTTTAAAATCAAAAGTAAATTTATCAGCTACTGTTTTTGTTGACAACTCTTTGGCTTCACAGCACAGGAAGCACTGGTTAGTAAGATATTTTGGATCAGCAAATTTCTTGTCATATGGTACAAACCACCAGTTATTATTAAAAAACAACAGCAGCAAAACAAGAAGTTGCTATCACTGCATTTCTTTTCCCTTTGCGAGTCTCCCCTCGACAATTTTTTGTGTGGCAGTAGTGGTTCCCAAGCTTCCAGTCACAGCTCGCTTGCAGACCCTAAGAAGCACAAAATACCATACAAATAGGACAAATATTGGAGGAATTCTAATTCTGTCCATTTCGCAGTGCCACTCGGGGCTGGGGAGACTTGGCCTAGGTCTCCACCACCGGTTTAGAAGTCACTGCTTTAAGTGATCTTCTTATTGTAAGATCTGACACAAACGCTAGTGGAATTAGGGCTCCTGCCTCGTCCCTGTTCACAGACTTTCGTGTTTTGTGGTCTGTGAGCAGTGCCCTTCAAGGCTTCAGTCCTGAAGAGATTCAAGACTACTCCCAGCACATTAAATTCTTACAAGACTGGAGGATTTGTATACGCAGTTTGAAAACTTGTGTCTTAGCTACGTATTTACACATCTACAACAATTACCGTGTAGAAGAGCAGAGACAAAACACAGGCCCCGTCTCCCAATCCTTACTCTTACAAGTCATATTAAGAGATTACAATGCAACTGCTTATGTGAATAATACTTGCAAGATCAAACACACAACTTTTATTTTCAAGGCAAGAAAATCTAAGTAAGTGGCATAGTGGTTGAATGTTTATACTGTGCATAAGCTTCTCCTTTTATCCCCTTAAGAAGAGATTTTATTAAAAACAATGTACAGTTTCAAACAAGTGCTGTTTTATTACTTAATATAGATCTTTCCCCCTCTTTTTGCTAAATCAAACAGCAAGTTTCCAGGCTTGCACAATTATTTTAGTACTTGATATCCTAAGGGATTGTCTTACTCAGTTTGCTTTATCTTTAATATACACTCATGTTGTTTCTGGCTGCGAGATAACTCTATCCTTCCTAGCTTTGTAAATATTTTTCTGTATAGGTAATACAAACGATACACTGGGTCTCGGCTGAGGTTGGGAAAGCATGGGGTAATGTCTGCCCTTTAAGAGGGAGCAGATAAAAGGCGACCTCAGGTCTTTCACGAGAAGGGATTAAAGAGTCCCCAGCTCAGAGAGACAGCGGTGTGCGCTGCCGACCCGGGCTACAACATTAAGCAAACCAGCCAGCCACGCTCCCGTGCGATGGGTGGCTGTTTCCAAGCCCCGTGGCGTGGGTCCTGCATCCCCTCCTCTTCTCTCCCTGACATGGTGCCCTTGTGCCAGCTCACCTGCGGAGCAGCACCCAGCCAAGGTCCAGCGGTCAGCAGGCCTGGTAAGAAAGCGCCTCTATGCTCTGCTTTCCCAAGGGTGGTGGGAGAGGGGCTCTGAAGGAGAAACAAACACACATTGACTCACCCCAGCCTCAACTGGGGTTAAAGCGGGGTGAGAAATCCCCTTCCCTTCACTGATACCCGGGCTGAGACGCCGTTGCCCAGGGTTCGAGCTTGGCTCTCGCACCGCAGCACAGCGAGGTCTCCCCACTTTGCTGGTAAAGGCGTTTGACAACGGGTGCCAGACACCTCTGCCTCTCCATCCTGACGCCTGCCGAGCCGGGCACAGCCGGCACAGGGGCTTGCCCTGCCCGGCACGCCGCTGCCTCCGCGTCCACGCATGTTCGCAAGAAACCACCGAACCGAAACAAAAACCGTGGGTGGTCCCACGCTCTCCTCTGAACTCCGGTGGCGGGTGGCAGCGCACTCTTATCTCACACCGGGAGACCTGCGTTTAGCCTGGCCGGGAGGAAAGAAACACTAATTTCCTTTGCTCCGTTTAAAGCCTTATTTACTTAGCGCTCTGCGGGATTGGCCAAGGTAAACTAACCTGAATCTGTTCTGCTGGCACATGGATAATGTGGGAAGGCCTGTCACCATGGTGATGAACTGCATTGCTTTCTTGTTCATAAATGGCATCGCGTTCAGGCTGAGGAAGACTGAGGAACCTTCGGATCATGGAGAGATTCTCCCAGAGGGTCCTGTTCTCTGGTGAGGGATCTTCTTTCCAACGTAACAGCTCACAAAGCCACCCCTTGAAGATAACACCAGCAAAACATTAGTTTTTTTTCCTCACTTCATGAGGGGCAAAAACGAGGGTGAAACGTGTACTTTAGTGGCACCGCATTCTCTCATGCTCTCCCCCGGTAGGAAAGGGCTTTCACTGCACAGGCTGGGCTCAAAGCAAACACCGACGCACCGAGAGGCTGCCGTCCTCCTTCACAGACCCTCGCCAGCCACGAGTGTTTTCGAAAGCACCATCCCCTTGGTCCCACACCACAGCACTGTGTGTTTGCTGAGAAACAAACCGGTTGGTGAAGGCAGAATCCCTCACCCGCTCCCCTCCGCAGGACAGGGGTTTCGCTGACACCAGTACATTCTTGCTGCCGCCTATTTTCTTTTATGCAAGGCTACACCCATCCGAGAGCATCGACACCGTGTTTCAGGAGCCAGCAGACTGCCTGCTGAGCAATTTTTAAAATCCTGGTACTACTACTCTAAACAAGAAAGTACTTCAAAGATCTGCCTTGGTTGCAGGGCTGCCTAATATACATCGTAGTGGTAGAGGAGCTCCCCAAAGTCCTTTCAAAAGACGGGAATCCTTCGACCAGATGCAGTGAAGCAGTATCTTCTTCCTATCTGCTACAAGCAGAGGTGCCTTGGCAGGTGAACTTACTTCAAGTGACAGAGGATTATTTGTCTCAGGATTTTTCTCACAGACCCAGAAAAAAAACAGTCTCTCAGTTTTATGTACACTGTTAGGGCTTGGCAGGGGGTGGGAGCAAGATATGCTCGAGCTTCTGATACATGCTTTATACCATTTCCATATCACAGGATGGCAAGTTGCCTAAGAGTTTACCTACTCTGATTCAGACAGATCCCAGTGGTTTTGGGATACACACATACCATGAAGTCAGCTACAGAATCCCCTGCAAGAACTGCAGTGTACGCTGATTTGCTTCTAAAGAGACACACAAGTTCATCTTGAAAATTTAACTGTTGTTTTCTTAGGTCTTCTTAAAATTTAACTGAGGATTTTTTTCTTCATTGTGCACTGGTAGTTTTAGCAGAAGCGTGCAAATGCTCTGCTAGCACAGCATGCATCAGCAGCAATTTTTCGGTATATTAAAATTTAGAAACAAAATATTACATGTATAAAACCTGCATACTTCCTTTCTTTTAGCTTCAAGGATCTGTTTTCAAAACTAGGTCCATGCAATTTTATTTCTTAATGCTGTAGGAAAGATAATGTGACATTTTATTGAATCAACAAACAATATAAATGTACAGAAGCTTTTAGATCCTTTTTATATGTACTGGTAGTTGAAAAATGGTTTATCTAGACTAGTTTACTACTAGATACAGTGGATACACAGATACAATGTAGATATGTATTTTCTTGATGACACTCATATCTTTAGCTAACAGTTAATAAACGCAGTATAAAAACATTGCCGTGATAGGAAGAGGTGAAAGTAAACAAATAATTTTAATGCATTCAGATTGTATAAGAAAATATTTAGTGAGGTGTGTATAAAAAGTAAAAATAAGAAAATGTCCCTGAGAAACAGAAATAACCGAAACGACACATGTTAGAGAGATGGTGGTAGTGGAGCCGAGAAAGCAAAAATTTAAACATGGCCAAAAATCTGCTGAGTGCTCACTAGGTGTGCTAGGGAGGGAGGGGGCAGACGGAGGAGAGCGGTGGCAGCAGAAGAGCTCCCCTGCACCCCGGGGAGCGCACCCCGGTCCTTGACCCCACGCTAAGGGAGGATGCCGGGTGTTGCCCCAGGGCTTAGCAAGCTGGGCCAAACGCCTTCATACAGAGAACGTAAGGTACAGCCTGCCCCAGCTGGAATCGTGTGGCATCTTTCTAACACAGCAGCAAGGATCTGTGAATTCTCCCTCCTCACTGTAAGGTGCCCTGGGACGCATTAGCAGGTTAATGTACGAACTCTCCCTGCCCCTAACAAAATCAACACGTTGCTTGTGGTGCTCTGCCTGCCTCGCTTCCATGGGGATACGTGCTGGATTATGCTCAACAGCAGTATTAGTTTTCTACAGCAAGTTAAAAGAGGTGCAGTCAGAAAACATAGGCAGCTTGTTGGGGATGGAGGGGAGAAAATGAAGCGAAGCAAATCTAGATTTTAAAAATTTTTTAAATCAAAATGCAATTTTTAATTAAAAAAAAAACACAACAAAAAAAAAACCCCAAAAAACAAACAAACAAACAAACCCCAAACAAAAAAACAGCCTACCCTGCCCCAAAGCATAAAAATTTTCCTTTGGTTGTCTGGAGTCTGCACTGCTTCACTTTGAAACTGTTGGTCCTCTTTCTAACGGTGGCAAAACAGAGAGCAGAGCTGACTATCATGGCAGTCGGTAAAAGTAAAGAAAAGACAACCTGTCCCCTCCCAAGACAGCTCTCTAAGGTGTACAGACAGACTGGAAAAGAAATTAAACCACGCATTCAGAAGCTGCACATCTTTTGCCTGGTGACCATGTGAATCACAGATTATTTTGGAAAAAAGACAGTAGAAACTCTTTTTAAATGTCCAGTAGTACAAATAATTCCTAAGCAATCACATTTTATGCTGATTAAATACCTTTCACAACAACAGTTTTTGTTAACTAAGAAATTCCTTTTCCCCTTACTGTCTTTTCTGTTTCTATATTTACTAGATCAGACATTATTTTTATTAATTCCTGATTAACATATTTCCAGTATTTATCTATCAAGTTTTGCACTGAAATAATACTTCTAATTCCATATCTAAAAATGATTTGACGAACTGCAACCTGAAGCATGTCTCTGCTAGCCTTTCAGGGAAGCTGTGATTTCCAGATACTGAAATCAGATGCTTCTGACACGGTACACAGAATACACTGCTATTCTACCAAAATGTCTCTTTTCCACTGGGCTTGTCACATTTTTAAAGAAGTAGATGTACTCTGATGAAAAATATGATGAGCAACATGGAAACAATCAACTCAATTCTTCTAAAATTACAAAGACAGAAATAATTTTTTGGTCTTCATGGTTTATTTTTGAAAATATTTATGAAAGTTGATCTCACAAATATTTTCTGAAGAGATAGTGAATGGGCAGTAACAGAGGCTGTAAGGGTTTACTTTGTTAGGAGACTAAAAACTTTATACCAGTATGCTTTCTTTTGGTTCAGAACAAGAAAACAACCATAAGTATTTTGCTTAGTTTCAGGTTCATGATTCTGTATACGACACAAAGCTCATTCACGGAAGTCAGCTAAATAAGAATGTATGAAATGTTTTTACAAATTTTAGGAAAAATAATCATACAGACTGATCTAATGGTGAATTTTAAGTTCTGTAAAATTTGTAAGTTTTGTTTCCACTTGATCTAAAGAAGTATGAAGTACTGCAGTTAATGCAGTTGAATTTACAAGTGAACCTAACAAGGCTGATTTTTCTCCTCTTACACTCAAATTTAAGTCTAGATCAATTTCTGTCTAGTTCAAACAATTTATTCCGCAGGAGGGCTTGGACCACTGTTTTTTCATCTCTTTATAGTCTTACAAGAAGTGGAAAAAAACATAGAAGGGTTTGGGTTGGAAGGGACCTTTAGAGGTCATTTAGCCCAAGCCCCCTGCAGTAAGCAGGGACACCTTCAACTAGACCAGGTTGCTCGGAGCCCCGTACAACCTGGCCTTGAATGTTTCCAGGGATGGGGCATCTACCACCTCTCTGCACAACCTGTTCCATTGTTTCACCATCCTCGCTGTAAAAAATTTCTTCCTTATATCCAGCCTAAATCTAGCCTCTTCTAGTTCAGAAAGGACCACAAAATAATAAGGAAATATTTACGACTCAGATCAGATCACAACTGATTTATACAGCATATATAGCAGATTGTGAAAAAGACAGCCTTAAAATAATAGAGACGATACATCTATGCAGCAAGGCAAACCCCCCAAAACTCTGCAACGACATTGGGAACAACCTTGATTTTAAAACAGAGTCAATTTGCCAGGCAAAATTACACTGAATATAAAGAGAGCACAAAGCAAAATATAAACATTAGCCACATGTAAATATGTTTGGAGAACTTTCAGGATGTTACTACTTTTCAAACTGACAAAGTTTAATTTGACACCTTCTGTTCTAAAACCTTTGTTTCTATTCAGAATCACGCCTTTAGCTGCTATCAATCACTATGCTCTCCCTATTACTTAAAATACTGGCATGGGCCCTGGATAAGCTGAAAATGCCATGCAGATGAATTCTGAGATAATATGTTCAAACCTGTTATATACAACACAAATCCTGTAAAGTTATGTATTGTAAACCTACATTTATTGGGAACTAAAAGTCTTAAATCCATCTGCTACAAAGAAAATACTGTTATGCACTTTCAAGTAACCAAGTACCATCTGCAAAGGTCTTGCTACAGTAAGCAAGAAAATGGTGAAAAAAAAAAAAGATGCTAAACCTAAGATATTTAAAATAAATAAGAGTCTTCTGTCTGGTTTTCTGATAGGGATTTAGTAAAGAAACATAAGACATTAGAGGAAAAAAACCTGTGAAAGCCGAACTGCCAAACTATTGCAGGAAAAGCGCAAAGAGGATAACTGCCAAACATTAGACTCTGCAAGACCCATGAGCATGCCTATTTTAAAGAAAGCATCTATGCATTTTATCTACTTATCTAAATGCTATTTTATTCTCTCTGGCCTGGGCTATATTTAAATACTATCTTCTGCTCTTTCACATAGATTTTCTAACAAACTATTCTTGCATTCTGGTATCTTTCTTACTAAAAGAAAAAAAAAAAAGATAATTGAAATCTGCACTTAAGGTGTAAATACCAATCCTAACTAGATCAAAGAGAGTAGCATTACAATCATTAAAGACGTTTTCTGGGCAAGGCTTTCCAAATCAGCAACAAACACATCTAGTCTGGGAAGCAAGGGCTTCAAGGTGGAACAACTGAACTCTCTTGTTCGGTGAATTTGTCATAGTGATGATAATTTGCCAGATGATGAATATTTCTTACCG